GAGGGACACGGTTTATTTTCTCTTTCTTGTGTAATATATACGGTGGGACTAATGAACCAGCAAACACAGATTTAGGTTGAAATCCAGATCTTTGAATGAAAACCTTTGTCTTCAGTGAATACACATGAAGAAGTTAAACAGTGTAATGGAATGCTATACTGCAAAAGTCTTAAGCCACTTATGATTTCGTTATATTCTACAAGGAAAATGGGACATTGGTGCAGTGATTTATTGAAACAAAAATAAAAAAGAATTCTCAAGAGCTTAAAAGTCAGTATTTGTATGTTGTAGTATGGTTGTCTTTTATTCTTTAGGCACGCCTTCTTGTCATTTCTTTAAGTAGTCTTCAGGGTTCTTGAAGTACTTTCCAAAGCTCTTCTTTGGATGTTGGCTTGATTTTGTTCTGTTGTCTATGTAGATGATCCCACACTATTTGAGGTCTAGGATCTGTAGGTAGGCCAATCCACAGTGTTCCATTCTGTGTTGTATGTAGGTATGTGTGGTGGGGCGTGGTCTGTGGTGCCGCGTGGACGCACCTGCACGGCATCTGCAAATTACACCCGCGGTGTTAAATCACAGGGAAGCAGGGCTGAGAGGGTTGTTGTGGTTCCGTCACAGTATGTATCATTTTACTGTATTGGCAGTGATCGACTAAAAAAGGCAGTTATACTGTCAGCTCATCTGGATTTTTTTCCTATCTCTTAAATACATGATTTTTAGATACTGTTGATCTGTTGTAGGTAATTCCCTTTCATTGAACTTACTCAGTGCAGCAAATATAGTATGGGATGTCATGTCCCTCTGTGTCCTGGCTGAAGATGCCTATTCATATCTTTAAGACAGATTACCTGTGAGTCAATCGAGCAATCTTCATCCAACTCCAAAGGCAAGGAGAAACCTGTCAATGTACCTGCAGCTAGCTAGACTAACCACAAGGAGTATGTTAATGAATTAGCTGAGAATGAGCCAGAACCATGCAAAGGTGCTGACCAGGTTCGGCCTCAGCAAGCCGTTCACCAGCATGGACAGATGGCTCTGGGCAGATGGCTTCAAAAGTAGTTTCACGGCCTCTGTGGCTAACTTTCTGATGGTCTCGACAGGGTTCTTTACTTGGTTGAACCAGTATGTGCTGGTGGTCTATTAGCACAATCACTCAAAGCCATTTGGGCTAAACTTGAGATGAGGAAGAAGCAGCTGGAATCTCTTCATAATATTGTTCCCAAACATGATATGAAACCCAAGCTTGTTGCAAGGTTCTGCAGGCCTGCAGTTCTGTTACTTACCTATTACTATTCTGTTACTATTTCACGTTTTTTTAGCAGCAGAGAGATCCTTTTTCTTTCCCATATTGCTTGAAAATGCTGGTCTGCTTAATAATGTGGAACATCCTTCTTTAGTAGTTTTTCCTTTAATTGGGCTCACCTGGCAAACTAATGATCATAGTTGTCCGAGATTGATTTCAGTGATCCATAATGACCTGAGACACCATTCCATCCATGAGTTTAATTGAAAAACAACTTATTTAATCTTTATTTAATCTTTATGCCACTTAAACACATTTTGCATAATAATAACAAAGGATGAAGCAAGCTGTTTTATCTGTTTACCCTTGAAGGTCCATCCTTTAAGATCGACTTGCTGATTGGCTGCCCCTTGGAAATAGAAGGTTGAGTTGCTGGTGGTTTAGGGTTATGTGCTCACAACCAGAGGCGTTTGTCTGAGAGCAGAAGAAGGTCTCACCAAACAATTACAGCAGTGTGAGGCCAGAGCTTTTAGCGGACACAAATGTCTTTTACATTCACTGACCTTATTTCCAACTTGTCCATGTTTAATATAAGCCTCGATCTCTGGAACAGTATAAAATAAAGAAAAGAACCAGAGGCCTATTTTAAAGTTCATAAATGCTGTGGTTTTTCCTGGAACCTTAGCTGGGACCTTCAGAGTAAGGCAGATGGGGATCTTTAAGTATTGCATGAACCAGGCCTTTACTCCCCTTCTTGCAGGACAGCGAATAAAGGACACAAAATGTCACCCCGAAGTACATGAAGGCTTTGGTGGTTGGGTTAGTGTAACTGGACAGAGCTACTGACTTTCCACCCCTCTGGGCCTACAACACACAGAGGGGGTACCCACAAGGTTTACCAAATAAAAGGAGCAGCACTCCAACTCAGATTTTGACACACACGCACGCACGCATGCACGCACACTCAACTTGAATAATCTGAACATAGGGAAATGCAGTCTTGTTTAGAGATATCAACTTTGTGGAGTAGCGGTAGTCTAAGATATCAGGCTGTGAAGCACACTATATGTGGCCTTTCATAATGTTATGAAAAAGTTGAAGCATTACCAGGACAAAGATTAGACCATTTTGTTTCCTTTTCATATTATTTAAGACAATTTTCAAAATGGTAAATGACAGTTAGAATTTTCTTAGAAATTCTTAGAATTTTTGTGTCTGAACAATTTCACTGTGAAATTATATATTATATTATTTATATAACTATATTTATTTATTATTAGAACAAAATAACAATAATTTAACATGAATTTATTATATGAAACAACATAAAATAATCTCCTGAATAAGGATTAATATTTCTAAAAAACTAGAGGTTCTTTTTAGAGTATCTTTTTCTAATGTTAGTCTTGTTTCTGCTCTCCTGAAGGTGGAGAACTTCATTTCCTTCAAATTGGAGGTGTGTGTGAAGATGTAGATGACGGAGACATGTTTATTGATGGCCCCCTTTCTAAAGGGGCTGAACTGCTGCTTGAGGGGGCCAAGCCCTCCTCTAACCCTTCTAGCCCCGGGATCACAGGTAGACCTGTCTCTAGATACACTGAGTCAGTAATTCACTACATCAGTTTTGATGCGTAACTTGAAAAGTGTTCTGGCCTTTGTGTAGGAGTGGACCTACTGGTGGATCAACCACTGACCACAGAGATTCTGATGTCCCTGGTAGAGCTGACACGCTTTGAGACTTTGACCCCACGCTTCTCAGCCACAGTTCCCCCGTGCTGGGTGGAGGTGCAGCAGGAGCAACAACAGCGACGCCACCCACAGCACCTTCATCAGCAGCACCATGGAGATGCAGCCCAGCACACACGTACTTGGAAACTTCAAAGTGACAGGTAGCAGTTTTAATTATCTGTACTGTTATGTCTGAGCTAGTGGCTTTATAGTGTAGGGATGCACATTTGCCTAACAAGTGAAAGACTGCAGGAGGAAACACAGTCCCACAGGTTTGTGAGGAGATTTTTCTATAAGAATCACTCTTCCTTGAAATCTTTGCCTGTTGCCAACAAAGATAACAAAATACTAACTTTTTTTGTATGTATTAAGTACCAACTAGTGCTGTTGTACTGGTTTCTCCCTTCCCTGCTTTTACTGTCAGTGTAAATGGACTTCTCACATAGTGAGCAGACAAGAGAGGTGGAGCAAACATTTTAGCCGAGTTTAGTCTCTTAGATAACTGTTAGAGTGAGCAAGAGAAGCAGACAGGGAAAGCATTAACGAGCTAAGCTTTTTAATTTTAGTCAACTTGAGTTTGTGCTAAAGTAAAAAAAAAATGTACAGAAAAAAGAAGCTGTTGGTGTGAAATCATCAGATCCTTTGCTCTTACCCTCAGCTTTAGTATGCTAGCCCACTAGCAACAGGTACACTCCAGCTGACACACAGGGTAGAAAATCCAAAACCGTATAGAAATGACATGTACGGATCAACTCGTTGTCACCAGTCTGTGTTCCAGGTATCAGTAACACATCTCCCAGTTGATAACCAAAATTTTGAATAATTTATTTATGAATCTGCTGCTAATGTATCGAAACAGTTGTCAGTCTTGTTTGCTAGTCAGGTCTTCGCACATGTTCCAGTCACACTTAGACATAACTCATGTTTTGAATCATTTTACATAAAGTCCCTTGAATATCTTTCCTAAAGTCATATGTGACTTGGATGTTAGAGGAAGTCTTCTTTCAAGGTCATATGTACTTGAATCTCAGCTATAAACAACAGTTCTAGAGCAGCAGATTCTACTTTTGGTTTCTGTTTTGTATCTGAAATCTTGATCATACTTTCCTCATCTACTGGAGTTACAGACATTTCACCATCAACTGGTACGCTCACGAGTCTGTGTGTAGCTTGACATGCTTAATATTTGAAATGGTTGATAATGTGATCGTGTAGGAATACTTTCTTTAATAATGATGACCTCTGTTCTGTCTTCAGCTCTAGCTGGGATGAGCATGTGTTTGAACTGGTGCTGCCCAAGGCCTGCATGGTGGGCCATGTGGACTTTAAGTTTGTCTTGAATGCCAACATCGTCAACATTCCTCAGATCCAGGTCACTCTGCTGAAAAACAAAGCACCTGGGCTGGGCAAAGTCAGTGGTGAGGACATTGTTTTTAAACAATTAATGATTGCTTTTAACCAGCAGTGTTTCAGACTAGAGCAGCTTTGTTTTGGGGGGGAAGTTTTCATCATTTCTCATTCAGTTAGTATGTATTTTATTCTTACTAGATAGAACTGACTTTATACATCTCAGTATTACTCCTTATCTCTTCAACAGAAACAGCTGTGGACAGGCAGATCTCATTCCCTCTTTCCAATGTCCTTCATGCAAATGGGGAGAGAAATGGCCAACCTGTAATGCAAGACTTCACAGAGGACATCCAGTTCATGGACATAGAGGAGACATCAGGTCAAACATTTTAGGCAGTTTCAATTTATAAACACTTATTTGCCCTGCAGATGATCACTCACTTAGAACCTTTCATTTCAGATAATGACTCGACTTTGAAATTATTTATTTATTTTTGTAAATAAACTGTATGTAAACATAAAATTGTGGATTCATATGCTTATTGCAGGCTCCATGTTGTGTCCATTCCTGGAAGACCACAAGGAGGACATCCTGTGTGGTCCAGTATGGCTGGCCAGTGGGCTAGACCTCTCTGGCCATGCTGGTATGCTCAGCCTCACTAGCCCCAAGCTGGTAAAAGGTAATAAACACATATACTGAAAATCAAGACCTGGCTATCAGACTAAAGCAGTTTCAATAGCCACCTGACTCTCGGACTGGTTTAGAATTAATATTTGTTTCTCCAGTGGCATTGGTGATCATCAAGACTGCCAAACACACAGTTCATTTCAAGTTGATGTAAATATAGGAATGATGACAATAAAGTTAATTTGTCAAACCAGTATTCCAAACTACTTTGGAAGCCCTTTATTTGGAAATTCATGGTCAAACTCCTACTTAAGATCGTCGTGACATAAACAATTCAGTGAGATGGTTATAATGCTGACTGTTAGATGTGAAATGACTTCCTGATCATAGCCTGCAGTTCATATTCATCTACACAGGTGTGTGTCAGTGTTTCACAATTGTCCTGTTGATCCCTCTCTGCTGCAGGCATGGCAGGAGGGAAGTACCGCTCTTTCCTGGTTCACATCAAAGCAGTAAGTGATAAGGGCACGGAGGAGAACCCCCGCCCCGTGGTGAGAATGCCTAGTTCCAAGCCTCAGGGCACCAAAGCGCACTCACTGTCAACCCTCCTTCAAAGGGCTCAGGCTTCTAAGGTACACAATTACAGTTCCTAAGCCAGTCAGGTGGCACATAAGTGTTGGGTTTCATCAAGTTACAGCCCGTTTAGAGTAATGTTTCCATATGTTTTGTCAACCGAGGCTGTCGGCTCATTTGTTTCCACTGAAAGTGGAGAGTTTATTTTTTAAATAAAGAAAAAACGGAAGATGTTAACTTGATTGGTCCAAAGTGAACTATTGAATAATTCTTATACTATGAAAAGTCTTGTTTTTGCAGTCATTTTGTTTTCCAAGATAAAAACATTCCAAAAAAATGAACAGCTGGTCTACCCTTGACTTTGTGAAACTACCAAATGCCAAACGAAGCCACATTCATGTATTTGCTACCTTTTATTTTTGTGTGTAGGAGAAAGTCTCCGCAGTGAAGACGGAAACCTCAGCTCCATCAAAGAAAGTAGAAAACCTGCGAGGATGCGACCTGCTTCAGGAAGTTTCAGTCACAATCAGAAGGTTCAAGAAGACGTCAATTCCCAAAGAAAGGTCAGATAACTGCTGAGGTGCTGCTGACACTGTGGTCAGGTTAAACATTTAACACGGATACATCAGGTCTACACACAGAGAAGTGTGCTTAACAATATTTCGTTATAAAGGACAATTTTTGCTTAGATGGTTTTTGTTTGGTGGTTTTTTACAAGTTAGTTGGTCTGTGTCTGCTGCTCTGTCGTTTTCAGGGTCCAACGCTGTGCAATGCTGCAGTTCCCAGACTTCCATGAGAAACTGCTGGATGCACTGTGTCGGCGAACAGAGGGCGGCCCAGCCACGGAGCATGCCCAGAGCCTCATCCTAGATATCTTGTGCTGGCTGGCTGGGGTCTTCTCCAATGGACCTTGCAGGTAGAAGTCAACCTGGAGACATACAGATTACAGCATTACCATAAGGGCTCTAGAATATACATGACCATCACATTCACATTGTACTAAGTGGAATATTGAATTTTGTGTCCTGTTTTTAGCCTAAAAGAAGGAAAGGAGAGTCTGCAGGTGAAAACCAGGACGAGGCTTACCGATATTGTACGGGTGTGTTTCTTTGAGGCTGGCCGGAGTATAGCACACAAATGTGCTCGCTTTCTTGCACTTTGCATTAGGTAAGAAACCCGTTTGAGCCAAAGATGCAGACAGTTCTTTTACACTTGGGCAAATTTACAACTTAACACGCATAAGGTAGAGGCTTTGTTCAAGGATGGAGTGCTGAAGATGCTGTTTGTTAGGCAGGCCCACTTATTTGAAAAGGGAAGAGAGACAGAGTGTGGAGTTAATTTCTCACATTCTCACAAAAAGAAAGTAATGGGTGCTGAATGCGTTGTGTCTGCCAACATTATGTTTTTAAGGGTGAGAGGGCTCTACCACAAGTCAAGGCTTACATTAGGGGTTATTAATTTCTTGTAATGTAACATGGGTTCTCTCTTGGTATCTTGTGTTTTGTTTTTTACGTTTACTTAAATAAAATAACAAGCACGTAGCTTTGTTTCTTGTTACAGTAATGGGAAAGGAGAACCAAGTCAGCAGGGTTTTGGCGTGAGCCTTCTGAAGGCTCTGCTGGACAATATGCCTTACTTGCCTGCAGCAGCAACTGGTGGTGAGTGATTGAGCAACATCTAGCACCCTCCCTTGTCTGTGTTTCTTGACTGTCCAGACTTGATGTTTTACCCTCTCCTCTTTCTTCTGTGGGCTTCCAGGCTCAGTGTTCTGGTACTTTGTGTTGTTAAATTACGTGAAGGAGGAGGACCTGGCAGACTGCAGCACTGCTTGTGCCTCCCTGCTCACCGCCATCTCTCGACAGCTGCAGGACCGCCTCACACCACTGGAGGCCCTGCTGCAGACCAGGTATCTGTATAGCTCTTTAGTCTAAACCCTAGGTTCATAAATTACGTTTTTCTCATCTTATCGTCACCTTATTTTATCCCCCTTTCTTGGATGTGTATCTATTCGTTCCCAGGTACGGACTGTACAGCTCTCCATTTGACCCGGTGCTCTTTGACTTGGAGGTCAGCGGTTCCTCATGTAAGAATGCCTTCAACAGCAGCATCGGAGTGCAGTCTGATGAGATCGACCTCTCCGACATACTCTCAGGTATGAGCACTAAAACTTCACAGGAATTTCTTCCTGTGAACACTGACCTGAACTTGCAGATCTTAAAGCACTGCTCTCCTTTATCACAAGAAGGCTCTATAATGTGAAAATGAAATACATTTTAATGACCAAGTCTGCTCTGACACCTAGTTGAGAAGAAAAAAACCCAAAGCATCTTTTACCTCGCAGGGCTTTTAAAGTACAGTGTGCAAAATATACACTGAACAGTTTCATAATATCTACTATATAATAAATCATTTCAAACTACAGACCTTGTATGGCTTGTCAGATTTCAGTGAGACTTTTTGCAACTTCTGATTTGGTCTTTCCTGTTGAAGCTGCAACTTATGCGGGTCTACCCATCCACACACCAAAATTGCACCTTCACTGGACCTGAAAGATTCCAGTCTAGCTTCATGCAAAAAAAGCAAGCTAGTAAACTGAGAAACCCTTGAACCTCATCAAGTGGAGACACTTCTGCTGAAATAACGTTCCACAGGGTAACTTGAAAGGAGGCTGAATAAGGTGACCCTGAGTCCTCCCTTAGCTATGCTGCAATAGGTCTGTACTAAAAAGTGTGGGGTTTTTTGGTGTGTGTGTGTGCACCCCCTCCAGTCACCATCAACAAGCCACGGCAACTGGCTGCTCCTCCATTTGCCAGTTCTGCTGGGGGTTTCTTCTTGTTAAAAGGGAATCTTTCTTTCCCACTCTGACCAAGTGCTTAGGGAAAAAATTAAAAAGAGCTTTATGTTTTTAAGGGTGAAAGGAGGAACTCAAATGCTTGTTTAGCATATTTTTTTCCAGTTAGTTTTGAATGTTGTATGTTTCGTAGGGAACGGAAAAGTGAGCAGCTGTGCAGCAGCAGAAGGCAGCTTCACAGCATTAACAGGACTCTTGGAGGTGGAACCTTTGCACTTTACTTGTATCTCCACCAGTGATGGCACACGGGTGGAGCGAGATGACGCCAGCATGTTCACTGGTAACCATTTGATCTTAGCTTGGTTTTAGCTGAGGTTTCAGTATGGGAACTGTCCTTTCTTGAAGTTGTATTCTTTGTTTCCAGTGAGTACATTTGGTGTGACCCCAACAGTGGGCGGCCTGTCAACGGGAACGGTTGGAGAAGCTTCTACGGCTCTGAGTTCTGCAGCTCAGGTGGCTCTCCAGTCGTTGTCTCATGCTATGGTGTCAGCAGAGCAGCAGCTGCAGGTCCTGCAGGAGAAGCAACAGCAGCTGCTGAAGCTGCAGCAGCAGGTGAAGAACCAGTTCAGTTATCTGGCCTGTTTAAGCTGCAGGAGCTCAACAAAACTCAATGACAGGAGTGCCGTCACATTAGACAGACTAGCTATTAGAACACAATAGGATAGAACAGAATAGAAATGGTTAAATAATCACACACTAGGTAGAGAAGTGATGAAATATGAGTTTGTTTGGCACTGGCTTCTGAGAACCAAATGACCAAATTATAAAACTTATTTAGCAGAAATCTTTATGACATGATGATGTAAGAAAAAGTCTCAAAGGTTCATAAAAGGATATGAAGCCAGATGTTACAGATTGTTAATTTCTTCCACCGAGAAATGCTATTATTGTAGCAAGGACTTGATACAGTTTAAAAACCTAACCACAGTTCATGGCTGTGGAAACCATGTTCTGACTGGACACCAAATGTTTGCACAAAAATGAAGAGATCCAAGAAATTAAAAGACAAAAAATGCTGAAAGCTTTTTCCAGTTTTAGATTTCTCTAAAGTTTGCCATGTTGCTCTAATACAAGTCTAGTGTTTTTATCCTGTGGCTGTAATATTCTTTGTATGCTGTAAACAGAAGGCCAAGCTGGAGGCTAAGCTGCATCAGACCACCTCAGCAGCAGCAGCTGCTGCCTCAGGCGTGGGACCTATACACAACTCTGTGCCTTCAAACCCTTCCTCCGCGCCAGGCTTTTTCATTCATCCTTCTGACGTCATCCCCCCAACACCTAAAACCACGCCCCTCTTCATGACCCCTCCTCTCACGCCCCCTAATGAGGTGGTTTCTGCAGCCTTCAGTGCTGAGCTGGCTCACCTGTTCCCTGGTTCCATGATGGACCCCGGGCCTGTCAACCTGGCTGCACACAAGAACACACAGAAAGCCAAACCAGTTAGTAACAAGTAGCTCCATGCTTTGTGGCCATTTATCCCTGAGTCACTGGGATATTTATATAGCTATTGCTGCATATATCACTTTCAACAAATGATTTCAGATCTAGATAGATTTATCTAACTTGATAGATTGCTTTGCAGTAAAATGAGAAATGTCTCTCTTTCTGCCTCAGAGCCCAATGGGCAGTGGTCTGGCTTTGGCCATTTCCCAGGCATCTCACTTCCTGCAGCCTCCTCCACATCAGTCAATCATCATAGAGCGGATGCACTCGGGTATGTCATGTAGGACTATTCCATATTGACCACCTAACCTAGTGCTTATATGTCAATATTTTAAGACTGGAAGATTCTGAAACTTTCTGAAAGTTTTAATCATGTTTCATTTGTTGCTAATTACGTTAGGAAATACCGTCAAAATTAAATATTTGTGGAAAATAAACTGAGCTTGCTCATGAGTGTGCTATGTTTTTCCTCCCAGGAGCTCGCCGTTTTGTAACTTTGGACTTTGGCCGTCCTGTTTTGCTGACGGATGCTCTGATCCCCACCTGTGGCGACCTGGCCTCTCTGTCCATAGACATCTGGACTCTGGGTGAAGAGGTGGATGGCCGCAGGCTGGTGGTGGCCACAGACATCAGCACCCACTCCCTCATTCTGCATGACCTGCTGCCACCACCTGTTTGCAGGTTCATGAAGGTCTGTTTCTCTCTGTTTTACTTTGGGGCAGAGTTGTGGGTTGGCTTACGTGATGTTTTAAATTTCTTTGTTGAGTTAAAAATCTGCCGCAATGATGGATGTAATACTGCTATTGTGGGCTGCCTCATATTCTCAGATCACTGTGATTGGGCGCTATGGCAGCACCAATGCTCGTGCTAAGATTCCACTGGGTTTCTACTATGGCCACACTTATATCCTGCCTTGGGAGAGTGAACTGAAGCTGATGCATGATCCTCTTCGGGGAGAGAGCGAAGCTGCCAGCCAGCCAGATGTGGATCAACACCTGACCATGATGGTGGCTTTGCAGGAGGACATCCAGTGCAGGTGAGACGGGAAGTAAAGCAGATACAGATGCCTCATTTGAGTTTGACTATGGCTTCATTAAACAGACTTGAGATATTTGGTGGTGTCTGTGGCTCAGGAGGTTGAGCAGCTCATCTCCTAATTGAAAGGTCAGTGAGTTGATTCCTGGCTACTCCAGCCTGCATGTCAAATAACCTTGAGCAAGATACTGAACCTTGAGTTGCTCCCGATGTGTTCATCAAAGTGTTTATGTGTGTGAATGCTAGATGGAAAGTTCTTGTATGAATGTGTGTGTGAATGGTTAAACAAGACATGTATAAAGCACTACAATGTCGTGAAAAAGAGTTTGACCTCTTCCTGATCTCCTAATTTTTGTGTATATTGTATATCACACTTTATATATCACTACGTGTATCACAAGGTTTCAGATCATCAAACAAACGTAATTATTAGATAATGATAACACAAGTAAACACAAAATTCAGTTTCCAAATGAAGTTTATTATTATTATTAAGGGGAGCTGGTTGGTCACCCTAGCAGCAACGGCTGCAATCAGGCGTTCACAGTAACTCCCAATGAGTCTTTTACCACGCTGTGGAGGAATTTTGGCCCACTCACCTTTGCAGAATAGTTCAGCCACATTGGAGGATTTTCAAGCATGAACCCCCCTTTTAAGGTCACGCCACAGAATCTCAATTGAATTCTGGGGCAGGACTCTGACTAGTCCACTCCAAAGTCTTCATTTTGTTTTTCTTAAGCTATTCAAAGGTGGACTTGCTGGTGTCTTTTGGACCATTGTCCTGCTGTGAAACCCAAGTACACTTCAGCTTGAGATCATGACCAGACAGCAGAATTCATGGTCCCATTTACCACAGCAAGTCTTCCAGGTGCTGAGGCAGCAGAGCAGCCTCACCAGCTTCACCACTGTTCAGAGTTTTCTCCATTTGTGTATAATGGATCTGACTGTGGTTCACTGAAGTTCCAAGGCTTAAGAAATGTCTTTTAGCCCTTTTCAGACTGATAGACATCAGTGATTTTGTTTTATTAGATCATGGCCTGCTTCAATTTGTCAGATGGGTTCTATTTAAGTGGTTTCTTGATTCAACAGGTCTGCCAGTAATTAGGCCTGACTATGTTTAGTAAAACTGAACTTAAATATCCAAAAGTTGATTCTGTTCATCTGGACGTAGCGTTTTGTCAGAGAAACATTTCATCACTCATTCAAGTGACTTCTTCAGTCTCAGCTGACTGCAGGTTTCCCCAATCTTATAAACAGTACATTTGCATAATGACTGAAACCAGCCCACTGAAGGAACAATGGGCTGGGAGGTCAGTTCCTTAATCTTAATTATGCAAATTCTCATGACCATTGATCAACAACCACTGACCAAAACTCACTGATCAAAGACCACTGATCGGCCATGAGTACCATTCACAGAGTTGGGGAATGGCTGCAATCACAGCATTGTAAGATGGTGAAAGATGTACCTTTAGACCCCCTCCTCAATTCAGAGATGGTCGTTCCCTTTTCACGTAAATGGCCTCCTTGACTCCGCGCTCAAACCAGCGTTCCTCCCTGTCCAATCTTCCTGGAACTTAACAGCGTACACTATGTTACTCTGTTTGTGTCGGGGGACCCGATACTTGGGGTGGACCAATTTTTGGTGCAGCGTGTTTTGGGGTTTAAAAGCCACAGAGACCCGGTGTTTCGAAAAAATGCGTCTCAACTATTCCGATACTCCTGACACATATGGGATCACTACAGGTTTTCGCTTGGGCAGCGGTTGTCCTTCTCTCCTAGATCGGCTGGAGCTTTCTTTAGGTGCCTTTAGAATACAACTTCAAGAGCTTTGACAAAGGTCCAGCTGGGATAACTTAAATAATGTAGTGATTTCATCTGCAAAAGAAGTTTGTAAATTTTTTGGTGGTGTTGTGAATTTTCCAATTTTGTTTTTCTTTACCAGGTATAATCTAGCTTGCCATCGGCTAGAGACCCTTCTGCAGAACATCGACCTGCCACCTCTCAACAGCGCCAACAATGCCCAGTACTTCTTAAGAAAACCAGATAAGGTTGTTGAGGAAGATCAGCGTGTTTTCTCAGCCTACCAGGACTGCATCCAGCTGCAGCTACAGCTTAACCTGGCTCACCATGCGGTTCAGCGGTTGCGTGTATCACTGGGTACCAGCCGCAAGTCACTCTCAGCAGCTGGGACTCCGGAAGCAAAGGAGCTAGTTCACAACTCCTCCACGGAGCAACTGAGAACCATCATCCGCTACTTGCTGGACACACTGCTGAGCCTGCTGCATTCTAATAATGGTGAGCTGAACTCTGCTGGATCTGCTGTTTAGTGAAGTTGTACATTTCACAGATGACTTTGTTAGTAACGTGTGGATTGAAACGTTGTTACACACAATTGATTCATTTTTATGGGTATTTTTAGGCCATTCTGTCCCCTCGGTGCTCCAGAGCACATTCCATGCCAAGGCCTGTGAGGAGCTCTTCAAACATCTTTGCATCAGTGGGACGCCCAAGATCCGACTTCATGCCGGCCTGCTGCTGGTGCAGCTCTGTGGAGGCGAGCGCTGGTGGGGCCAGTTCCTCTCTAATGTACTGCAGGAGCTCTACAACTCTGAACAGCTGCTCATCTTTCCCCAGGACAGGTAAAGAACTATCAGATTCCATATAGTCACAACATTTTAGATTAATGTGAAATTCAATAAATAATAATAAATAATGAAAAAAGGTAGGGGTTTTAATGAAAAATAAAATAAAATAATTTTTCAGTCCCACAGGAAAATCTAATCATGACATTACACATTGGTTTATATCAAAATGTTGACTTCTAATGAACGGTTAAAAAAAAAAGAAAGAAAGGAAAGGAAAGGAAGAAAACATAAACCAAATCAAAACAAACCTCTCCCAGCATAGAGTTGTTTAACCCTCTGCAGTCGATGGATACGCTCACATGACCAATTTAAGATGACACAGCAACAAGATGCAGCGACCCAGATTCTTCATTTCGAAAGTGTGGACGTGTGGACTGTATATGAATTTATAATTGTGTTGATCGGCCATGTAAACCCAGAGTTATGATAAAAAATACATGCAGTGTATTTTTCTGAATAAAACAGTGGTATTTACTCCTGGAAGAAATGGCAGAAACAGTGTTTTCTAACTACAGTGCTATAGCAAGCATTCTCCGCTTGCAGAGCAAAAACAAAAAAGAAAATAAAAGAAAAAAAACACCCCTTCCCTATTGGTGTTAAAGTGTACCATGTTGACCAATCAAAAAAGTATATGGCAACATGTGGTATTTGGTTGGCTAGGGTGGCACTCACAAAGGCAGAGCAGTGAATGAGGGATGGGGCTCTCACATGTACTCTACCCACATAAACTGTCTGGAACTGCTGGCAGTTCACCTGTCGCTAAAACATTTTCTGCCTCCGCCTGTAAAGACGTAAAGGTATTTGAGCTTCTGATGAGGTCACACAGGAGGCCTTCCCATAGTGAGACACTCACTGTACTATGCTACTCAGAGAACTGGGGTTATATACATAACCTTTGGGTTTGTTTTTTTGTGTTTGTTTGTTTGTTTGTTTAAAATAAACAAATCCACAAACTAGCTGATGTTTAGTTCTAACTTTGGCTCCTGAAGCACAGAGACTGACAATATCCACTAGGGAGTCGCACATGATGATGGGGACCAGTAAGAAGTTCACCATCAAATAATTTATAAAAGCAATGAACAGTCTCACAAAGACTTGCATGCCTATGTGAACAAACAGAGAACACTCAAAACAATCAACATCAGGGCACAAACTGCAAAGAATATGGAATACACCAAAGACTATCATGAAGCCATGCATATCCTGAACATGTAACTCTTCCAGCCATGTTATTATGCTTGTAGGTGTATTTTGTTTTTAAAGGGAATTGTGCTTAATTTTCATGTCATTTATTATCACAGCTTGGATCATAGATGCTTGGCTTTTAGCGTTGCCTTTCCTCTGGTTACTATGCTGAGGCAAGTCTAAGAACTGCAAAAGTATTTCTCTGCAACACAGTAAAGTGCCCTCTCAGTCTTTTGGCTGCTTAGATTTGTCTACTCATACATGGAGATGCAGAAGCACAAATTATGTAGCACGTCGTTTGGGTTGTTCTTCTGGAGACATCAAACTTAGCTTTCAGGTCTTGTGGATGCTGTGGATACTAACTGCTGTATGCTTAATCTGTATTCATGTTAGGGTATTCATGCTCCTGTCATGCATTGGCCAAAGATCCCTAAGTAACAGCGGTGTGTTGGAAGGCCTTCTGAATCTCCTGGACAGCCTCCTGTCTCCACTGCAGCAGCCACAAGCTGCCGCTCAGCGCAGAACTGAAGGTAAAGCAACTGAGAAGAGCGTCTTTGCAGCACCTGATATGTTAACTTGAGTTAGTAGAAGTTACAGATAGAGTTAAAGTCAGTGTTAATTTTTATGTAGTCAGATTTATTTATTTTTAAACAGACTGGTTTGTTCAAAAGTGGGATACGAGAGTGTGTTTGAAATGAAGTTGATTTTTTGTTTGTTTGTTTTTGTAAAAATCAAACAGGTGTTTTGGATATTCCCATGATCAGCTGGGTAGTGATGTTGGTCTCCAGACTGTTGGACTATGTAGCAAGTATCGAAGATGAGGCCTCAGGAGGGAAGAAGCACCTGGGAGGGAAAGAACGGGAAAGACCTGTAACAGGTAAAATACCTGCATTCTACTTTTCCCTGATATGTGTAAATGTTTTTTTTATTTTCTTTTTCTTTTTTTAATCTATAGGCACTGGAAATTGTGAAATTGAAACAAAACATAAACAGATGTTGATTGCCTCTGACCAGTTGCTGATTGCAGTTTTGCTGTTAATTCTTTGATAGCTTTGAAAGGGTATCAATTACCAAACAGCAGAAGCTTAATAGTAATCTTTATGAATATCTACTCAGTGAGGAACTCAATAGATATAAATAGAATATAAAATATTGCACATATAAAAGGCTCAGACAACGCTTCCATGAAGTGGTTGGCAGAATATCAACATTTTTACTCACTACGCAATTAGACGACACAATGCAATTGCTTTTTTTTTTCCATTCTCCAATTTAGAAGTCTACAACTGCAAGAGAGCACAAAATTATGGTTAAACATTTAGCAATGACTGTTTATTAAGGTAGTTCCTAAATATAGGTAGAAAGATGGTATCTGAGTAACTAAAGAGAAAAAGTGGTCAGGATTTTTACTCTCTACTTAGTGGTTGGACTTTGTTGAAAAAAGTCTCAAATCCATAAATCTTTGATGCTTATGCTTCACATGGATGATGATTAACAAGATCTTGCTAACTCAGCTGCACATTAAATGACATCAATGCAGACATACATCTTTTACAAATGATTGGAAATGGTTACAATCAAACTGCACTGTATGCTAAAGATGTTTGTCGCAGCACATTTAAGTAGTCCTCAAACTCCGCTAAATCAATTGGAATTAAGCTGTTTGATTGTACGTCATACTCCTTAGTTGTTTGTCAGTCTTGTGTTACCTTCATTAATGTGCTGTATTTTTTTGTCCTGCAGGTATTCAGTGGAGTTTCATAAATAACAGCCTCCAGTCTCAGAACTCCAGCAGGTCAGCCAAAGGCAGCAGCAGCCTGGATCGCCTGTACTCACGCAAAATCCGTAAGCAGCTTGTCCATCACAAGCAGGTAAATGTGTCCCATTTCAAAAGCAGCACACCTTCATATTTGTTTTTCTCCATTTTTAAGTGGGTAATTAAAACTTGATTTGAAATTTGCATTTGTTAGAACCAGGTTAGGGATTGTTTCCTATATTGGAATGCATCCAACAAGTAGATAGTTCTGGAGTGATACTTTTACAGTACATAAACTTATTGTGGCCTTTTCATTGCAGCAGCTAAATCTATTGAAAGCAAAACAGAAGGCTCTGGTTGAGCAGATCGAGAAGGAGAAGATCCAGAGCAACAAAGGCTCCTCCTACAAACTGTTGGTGGAACAAGCCAAGCTAAAACAAGCTACATCCAAGGTGAGCAGCTCACCACACAATCAAAAAGATTAGGCTGTGAAGGAGGGCTGCAACGAAATCTGCCATTTATTCTTTAATTAGTTGATTAGTCAGTGATTATTTCAGTAGCTTGCTGTGGGCAAACCTCCTGTTCTCCTGTTCCAGTCCCTACTCCACCTGTGAAAATCACCCTTTTGTCTCATCCCAATTCTGTACATCACGTTTGGGAGATTAATTTTCAGTACTACAACTTGTTAATTTTTTCCTTTTTCAGCACTTTAAAGACCTGATCCGTCTGCGGCGGACAGCTGAATGGCCCCGTTCCACATTGGATACAGAGTCCACAACAGCCAAAGAAGCCCCAGAAGTAGAACCTCTGCCCTTCACTTTATCTCATGAACGCTGTATCTCTGTGGTGCAGAAGCTGGCCCTCTTTCTCCTCTCCATGGATTTCACCTGCCATGCTGATCTGCTGCTCTTTGTCTGCAAAGTATTTATCTAACACTGGGAGTTAATCTAACACTGGGGATATATATATACACGAATTTGACAGTCTAAAACTACAAATATTTCTCTTATTCGTTTAGGTCCTGGCTAGGATAGCCAACGCCACAAGGCCCACAATCCACTTGTGCGAAGTGGTGTCTGAGCAGCAGCTAGAACGCCTGCTTCTCTTGCTTGTGGGAACGGATTTTAACCGGGGGGACATCTCCTGGGGAGGCGCCTGGGCACAATATTCCCTCACGTGTATGCTACAGGACATCCTGGCTGGTGTGTTTTCAGTTTAGCGTTACATTTGTTTGAATCTGATTAAAACGCACTGATTGTGAGGCGAGCGGGGGACATATTAAGTCTTGTGTGAAGCTGAACATTTAGTTTGGCACATTGTTGTTGCTGGAGTTTCAATTTGGCTTTAGAGCAAAATATTGTACCAATTTTTTTTTTAATCTCTTTGAAAGTTGGGGAATTATATTTGTATGTTCTCACATTAGCTTGAGCAAAAAACGTGGTGTGCAGAATATGTGTGCACTTTGGTGCACATTTGTTTCAACAGGGTCCTTTCCTTTTTTTTGTCTCTAACTTTTTCCAACCGTAACATTTTTTTACTTTAGTTTTGACATAGTACCATTTTCACAGAGCCACTGGTGTGGTTGTACAATGTTTACAGAGCACATTTCACAAGCTTTTATCAAAGCAATAATATAGAATATAATGAGGCACATTAAGCACATGGATTGTAAATTTTCTTATTGTTAGTGCAGGTAAGCTAGGCATGACTAAATTGATGTAAAAATTAGACTTGTCAGATTTTCTGTTTCGTGTTTGGTGTCCTTTAACAACTTCATCTTCATTAAGTCGGTGCATGTCTGGTGTACTTGAACATGTATTCTTCTCAGGTGAACTGCTGTCTCCAGGCTCTCTGGATGTCATGGATGAGGTGGTGGTGGGTGAGGAAGCTGGGACATCGTCCTCCTCTGCGGGAGCAGATTCGGAGGACT